TCCTAACCGAACAGCGCCGAATATGGTAAGGCGGCATTTCATGAGAGCAGGGTCGTACTGAAGGGGAAGAAGATTTTGTAAGGTCGTATTGACACATATCACCCTTTCTGATACTGTACCCTGATCGATATGCATCACAACAAGCTTGTCATCATTTGACCGATTGGCCTTCAATTTAGCCCAGTTACACAAACAACAATGAATGGTCCATGCTCGCTCGACGTGCCAATTTCACATGATATCATCAGAACAGATTTTTCACGTGATCGTACTCCCGACAAAAGTGTAAACCGAGCGATAGACGTCAGCAGTGGCGCTCATTTGTTCGCTGATCGCACGAATTCTTCCTGACAACGAGAACTTTTCGACGGGAACTACGTCCGTACGGATGAAAACATCACAGGGAGAAATGTCGGCAAACCCAGGGATTGATGAATTCTCGTGCATAAACCTTGCATTGATTAGATAACAGCTCTATTTTCGTATTTTTCTTAAAAATAAATTCAAACTATTTATCATATAATAACAACATATGACACAGCACGAAATACATTACAGACCAGAAAAGGCAAGGGGGGGGGGGAGTAATTCTGCGATTTTGCTGCTTTGCTTGTGTCGTGTTAATTGCTTTAGAAGAGCCGACATGAGATGACAGGTATTCAGGTATTCTCGACAAGTGATGACATTCACAAGTAGTTTCCACAACATTGACTGGCTACTTCATGGCTTTACAAAATTTCAGATATCTCTGCCAGGGCACACCATTAGTTGGGGATTTTGGTGGAGTCCCTACGACCCTCCTCTCCGTCCAGTTCTCTACTCTGACCGCCGCTCTCCAACAAATGGCCACATAGCATCCTACTCCTTAACATTCATGAAACAAGAAAAAATCAAACGTACAGAAAAATGCTCCGCAAGACCATGCACGATCCGCTCCCTCCCCCCCCCCTTTCAGGTCTACCAAATAGCGACCATGTTGGGGACTCTCCAACGATGATGTGCCCTGATCTCTGCTTGGCGGTTCTCCACGACAGTAGTAAGCAGCGAAGGTGCAGAACGCCCCCCCCCTCCTTTCCCCTTCCCAAGTCTGCGCCATAAACATGTGGAAAGTTCCTCGCTATATGTATAAGTCATAGTTTCACGCGATCTCAGAGCTATTCCCAATTTGGCTTCTTTGGCTCTGAAGCGGAATTTAGGCCGCGGGATTGATCTGCTTAGCGTGGTAAGCGGACCACGTGCCACTACACCATAAATCAGCGCGATGTGGCCTCGAAAGACGGGCAAGAGAATCGTAATTTGTCGCTCCGCCCCGCGCGGGGCAATGTGCGCGGCGTTTACTCAACTCGTGTTAACCTGCCGATTGGAGCACCGGATCTCATGTTGACCCCGTCATCGTGGACATTCGTCACTACTTTCGGCTCTGAATTGCCTGTTGTCAACTACCTGGAGCCATGGTCATTTGCCGGCGCGACGCCGCATCGCGACGCCCATCAGATCAGCGCGGCGAATTACGATTCTCTTATCACATACCCATGTGGCTATCATTGCGGAGACCAAACTGGTGAAGCATTTTCAGCTCAGCGAACAGTCTAGTTCAAAAGAACCTGTCCCAAAAAAGGCACAACTGGCGCGGTTGGACTCTGGTCCCCGGACCTTGCAGCAGGAATGCGGCGTCATTTGCCACTTAACGACACCACCGCACTACATATACATCTTCGTAATTATCGTAGCAGCTCGTTTTCTCTTGCTGCCGTAGAAAGGAAAAAAGGCGCATTTCACAATTTCAGTTCAGTTGGGGGCACAGAATGGTACCGGGCTTGTACAGGCCACCCTGTTAGTTCCTGGGCCGGTGCGGCTCGCACCATACCGCAACTTGACAGAACTTTGTAGGCCTCAGCAAAGTGAAGCCTGCTGTTGTTAACACGAACCATTAAAAGGAACTGACCAAAGGGCAAGATGTCCCCTTCAAGCCGAGCAGCGCCGGAAAAGCCTTTGGGCTCGAGAATCGCACCCTCAGGTGCGCCATGCCCTCGCTTCTTTTAAAATGGTTGTGGGAACTACTGGAAAAATCCTCCGGTGCTTAGTAAGCACCCTAACCCGGCGCAGTTCGTCGACGGGGGGGGGCATTTCGCACGTTTGTTACCTCCCATCGACGTGTCGACCTAATCTAGACAGCTCTTTGTGACTGACAGGTTTTTATTATGATCGCTGCGAAAGCTTGCTCACAGCTTAAGAACTCTACAGCGGTTTTACAAGAGTTGAGACTTTGCAAACCTGAATTAGTGAAGCAACGAAGTAGCAAAATGCACGCCCCGGTCGCGCGGAGCTGCGTCCTCTCTTCTTCACAAGTTTTCTGAAGCCCACTAGGGGTATTTCTCCCTGAGACAGGATGTTGAAGGTTCCGATTGCCAGGCCGCCATTGCCTGGATTCTGTGAAGAACGCATGGCTGACATTTGCAGGCAGCTTCCCCATCTCCCTTGTGTGCGTTTGCGGGCTCACCGCTTCAGTTTTTATCAGAATTCGAAGAAATCGTATATTCCTGTTGTTTACTAAAGCTTATAAACATTGGTTGCGGAACGGTTGGTTACCCTTTGCAACTGCTTCAACCAGGTTTAAGAATCATCTGGATGGAAATTAGAGCACGAATGGGGAAAATAGCCAGAGACAATCAGGAACCCATCCCTCCAGGAATAAGCCGCCTACTTGCCTTAGGCACATAATCGGCGAACGGGGAGGGATTTTTGCATTTTGCTACTCCATCGCACGAGTGCGACCTATCTAAGACAACTCTGCTCTCTAGTTGAAGATTTTACCGGCTCGAGGACCTTGCTCCACCTTCGAGAGTTCACAGGTTCCGCCAGAGTGAGACTTGCACACCGGAACTAAGGAAGCAGTGATAGAACAAAATGCCCCCTCCCCCCGTCACCGAACTGCACCCTTGACTTACTCGAAAACGGCAAAGACTTGATGTTCTGGAGGCGCGGTCAATGAATTTGAGCCTACTCTTGTGCTTTGAAAAGCTCTGTACTATACTGTTCTCCTACTAAAAAAGACTCAATTGTCTAACTCTGCGATCCTCGATCGTACACGAATGTTCTATGGTGCTTTATCAATCACACCATCTCCTGCACAGAAATAATAAATCAATTGGTTATTTAGCCTACACTAGCTGACCAAGGTGAATGCTCGTTTGATGTATCGGATACGATCACTGTTTTTCCCCGGACGCGGAGGTCGTGAGAATCATCGGAAGAAAAGTAATATCGTATGTCCGATCCGATCGGAATGACCATTTCATCTTCGTCGGCGAAGCAAAAAAAAAAAAAAAAAACAAAAGTTTTTTTATTATATGCGATATTCCCGACCCAGTGATCGGTTCTAATTGAACTACGACGTACTGCGAACGTTCAGAGGCCAATTATAAAATATTTGGTTGGACACATTTGTACTATGGGACTGATCATGCGATTGCTGACAATCAGCAGCGTTGCGCATATCACGGGTTCCTTGGCGCACGGTGTTTGGGTTGGGCATGTGATTCTTAGTGTGTAAAATGCAACGATTAACGCGTTGTATAACCGAGGGACCTTCGATACGCCAGGGAAGCAATAAGGAACTCCAGCTAGTAAAGGGGAGACGCGCGAGGAAGACGCCGTTTGTGGGCCATGGGATCGATCCGAGCAAACATATCAGAGCTTACTCCCCTTGTGCCATATAATCGCATCAGGGTTATCCGGGTGGACTGACATTTGCGAACGCAGTAATCATTACACTACCCTTTATCCACTCCTAGTGAAAAGAATTTCAGGCAGACGGTGCTGATTGATCACAAGAATGCTGAAGTTACGGGAAAAGTCGCTGGGCGCGGGCGGACTCAAATAACTCTTGCTTTCCGGACGAGTGTACCAACTACTCGCCAGACAGCGGTCGCTCTTTTAACCGCTCTTCTAGCTTGACGACTTTTTCGTCGTAACCTTAGCAGCATCCGAGGACGTTTAGCATATTGAGCCGGCCAAGCGCTTAAGACACCTGTAATGACCACGCGGGCTGAATGTGGAGTCCGTCTAGAGTCAAAAACTTTTTGCGCTTTATCAAGCTGCATGTAGCTTCTGTGTAGCATGCGGCAGTCAGAGAATTTCTTTCATATATCTGGGGGTATCATTTGAAAGCACGGGTGGCGTCTCAAGAGCACGCTGTCCAGCCGCATGGCTTCTCCATCTTTCCTTGTTTTTTTCTTCGCTTCCTTCCTTCTTTCGCTTCCTTCGCGCTGTTGCCTTCTTTTATTTAGCTTCTCCCTTCAACTACTGCCTAGTAGATGCCCACAAAGAATACACCGAACCCTCGCAGTGAGGCAATCGGATGAAGGTGCGCCTGTAAGCCGTGTGACTGTTAGAAAGGAAGGTAAATAGAACGGCGAGGGTCCCACATAGGTACAGTCGTCATCCGGTGACTTGATCATTGCGGCAAGGGACGCGACGCGGCTGTATGACGGCAGCCACACGAACACGGCCCTTGTTTCTGGGCGGAATTGCTGCAGATGGGTGGCTTTCCTAGGACTCTTGATAGCCTGATTATCAGTCACTTTCGAGCTGTGGAAGTGATACAGCCTCAGCGACTGCGAACCGGGTCATCTTGTGCGAAGAGTCTGCAACCGTTTTCACTTCAGAACCAGGGGTGTGTTAGGGAGGCTGGGTTTGGCGTTGCGCCAGCTCGATCTCCACCGATTGCTGAAGCGAAAAAACGACGAAAATCAAAACAGGAAAAGGGCAGCCGTCGCGAAAACCTCCTCCATTCCACATGACACATCCAGTGTTAGCTGCGAACAAGAAGTATACCTATAAAGCAATCGGCAGGAGGTTTCTTTGGCAGGAAAACTTCTGTGTAACAGATGAACACAAAAACAACATATTTTACTGTTAAACGTCGCCACACAGTTGTTCTAAGTGAAAAGCCAAGCTATATATAATATGAACATAAGATCGTGTTTATAAAATCGTATTCATATGCATGCTCTATCCTTGGAGAAATTGTCTTCTTCTTTCATCTGGAATATCTTTCTATAGTCAACGTCACCTTCAGATTGAGCTGTTGAGTTGGACTAACTTTGAGAATAACTCTGAGTGCCTCGATCTTAATTCCTTTTCTTATAGCATCTTTGAAGAATTCTATTAAATTGCAGTTTATGTCAGTAGTTGGTAAATATTGAATAGTTAACCGATCTCGACGAGGAGGACCTGCAAAGAATACCATGAGGAGGCTGAAATCGCATATCGGCCAGGAGATCCACTTTTGCGGCAACGCGGCGAAGGCGTTGCGATTTTGACTGGAAGTCCGTCCATAAGGGTAATCGATGGTCCTGATTACGATTTTGACACTTATTTTCGAGGTCGACGCAATTTGGCGCCAGTATAGCGCTTAACGTCCCTCGTATGGGGTACATAGACGTAACTTTCACTCCTTTTTTGGCATTCCAGGAGCCGCACAGCAAAAACGAAGCCCACTTTTACGGTTCATGGGCAAGGTCCTACAAAGTGCAATAAACCGTTTTGAAAAAGCGGGGCACGCTAAGACGCCTTGCTTGTAAGCACTTACCAATCAAACGTGTAACTATCAAGCTCTTGCACTGTCCTGTCTCGACCACTTGGTAGACGGGCCTCACGCGATAAAGTTGGTTATTGCTGCATCGTACCTAGGCGAAACGGTCGTTGAAGTTAGGTGGCGAGTAAATGCTGGCGTACTTGCTCACCAAGAACGCTTTTGGCAAGTGTTCCAACTATGTGAAGGAAGTTCATGTTAAGAATCAGTTAGTTCCTCAGACTCCACCAGGTATCCCTGCTAGCGTCACACGCACCTATTAATGAGGACTCACTCCGCCCCTGTACAGTTCTCTTCGCCGTCGCCGCTGGTGCATGTCAGAGGGTGGGGGATTGGCGCAGTGCCAACCCATTTTTCACCAATTGTTGTCGTTTGCCCTCTTCAACCGCTGGTGGGGAACGGGCTGGCGCTGCGCCAAATCTCACACGAGCCAATTAACAAGACTGTATTTTGCGGCTGCGGTATATTTGGCAACGCGCGCACGGCGAAAGCACAGTATACGTGTGCGAAACGGAAGAGTAGGGGAATCGGTCAGTTCCCGGCTCTGCTTTGACGGCATACTCCTTCCTTTGACTAGATCGATATTTGTACTTGTCTTATTCTCGCAAAGTATGAACACCACCACACCAGTCGTCATTCTCGCAAGAATGACGCCAACCATACCAACCTTTAGTGCTTAGGGGATATCTTTTCTCAGTTAGAGTGTGTTATCAACAAGATTATGCTTGATACTAGGTTGAGTGTCTCTACATACACGTAGTTATTTCTCGTCTTTCGTTAGCGTTGGGTTCAACCCTAACTATTCCTACGCGTGTTTGCTTCCAACTCCCTTGGTTCCAATGAGGCAAATGCAGCAGGCAGAAAAATTTGAACTAGATCACTCCTTTCCATCGACTCGCTGTCAATCCAGAAATAGGCTTTACTTCGCCTCCCGCAAATTTCAATTTTGGCGAGGCCAACTTGGACACCCCGCCTTCAGCGCTTGGGATGTCCGCGACCTTCTAAACTCCATGTCGCGAAGCCGTTCGCTAGTGGGGCGGCTTACAGCTCCCCAAGCTGTGGGCGAATGCACCGCTAGAAGTGCCTATTCTTTTTGGCGACGCTAGGTCGCCGCGCTGGTGGGCGTGGCTGACGAAAGCCGCAAATCATCGTAAGAGTTCTGTTCCTCTAAAGGGATCAACAGACGGTCGCCATCGGATGTTTGGTCGAGGTAGCTGTGAACGCAGGCGGATGAACGAGCACGAGCAATGTAGCTTTGAACGTTGGCCACAGCGTCACTGCCGCATGATACGCCGTGTGCGAGTGCTGACTAGCTAGAACCGCCTATGTATCTTCGAGGAGTCCTCGCATACTACTGCCAACTTCGTCCTACGGCTGCAAATGCTCTTTCTTCAACCGGATAAGTTGTTACCTTGACAGCCAGGTGTTTGTCACCGAGATTCACCAACATATGCTCTGATTTCCCTCCGGCCGTAGTGAATGAGGCCACCTGGAACAGGACTGTGTACCTTATCGCCTTGAGCAGTAAAATGACAGACTGAAATTTGCTTGACTCACCTCCGGATCAACGGACAGTACTTGATCACGAGATTTCTGAAGTTTGTCGGGATTATCATTTCTGCCACTCATATACTGAGAGTTATCTAAGTTCGCAAGGAAACGATGAAATGTAGAGAGGCTACCCGCGGTGGGAGGTGAGCATAGAAATGGAGAAGCATGAGAATGAGCCTTTTATACTGAGTGTTATGGATATGCAGCACCGTCTACTTATCTGGTCGTGATACCGAAATTACTTTTGAATAAGTAGCACCGTCTACTTATCACTCTATCCCACTATACTCTTCCAAAGCACTAGCGACCAGCGCCGATCGGTGACGCGAAACGGACAAGGCAATCGCAGTTCGTCGCGGCATCGCACGCGGCATATCATGCGGCGATGCGCGGCGACTTTTTGATGTAAATTGTTCGTCGATTGAAGCAGTGGAACTCATATACATCCAAGATAAAACCTCATGACAATAGCTATCGAATTTTCCCGTTTAACGCTCGAAGTCAAATGACCAGGACAGGACAACTCGTCCGTCGAGCGCGGCGTCGCTCGCCACGCTCACGAGCGCGACATTTTACGATTGTCTTGTCACATACCTAAAGACTGTGTAATTATGCTAGTTTGTTGGTATCCGTATCTCTAGCTTCGCTCCAGTCTACACTCCTTATCCCCGAGACGGAGTAGGCGTGGCATTCGAACATGGCAGCAGAACTGGTTACTCGTGAGATATTTCATTTCGAGACAACTGTCATCTTGTTGTGTGTTGAACAGAGACACGACCGCAGTTGTCTCAAAATGAAAATATCTCCCAGAAGCACAACCACCGCCACGTTTTGTCGAAGTACGCAGCCACGCCCACCTCATCCCAGGGATGTCGAGCATACTTTTGAGCGGTGCAAGTGGCGAGTACTGCACGTGTGGATCTGTTCACCTCACATATGGCTCTTCAGAGGTAGTGCACAGTTTATCTTTAAAGGTAGTGGGCACGATGGCTGGGGCGGGTAGTTGTTGTATAGGCTTTGGCGGAAGGCTGAGTGTAGTGTGACGACGCCCACTCGCGACCCTTCCACCAGTGAAGCTGGGAACAACCGCCCGCCTCTAGAAAGCGTGCCAACTGCCTTCAGAAGAAAGTAACTCAAGCGAGAGGGCAGGTATGATAGCCCCAAACCTTTGTGAACGAATTCATGACCACTAAACTGTTGCTGATCTTTTTTCGATTTTTCAATTTCGTCTGTCCAGTGGGTATCTCAATATCACTGAAAAAGACAGACGGGTTCCATAGTGCTAGCGTAGACGTGAGACTCACAGTAGCGAAAAGTAGTAATAGTTCAATATATCGTTTATACTTTGAAATTGTATTATTTAGTTAAACTTGATCAATTTTTAACTTGCTCTTTACTTACTTATCCTAATTA